GATTTAGTACCATAAGGGTACTGTTTTAATTTCTCCTTCGTTTATATTGTTCGACTGTACTAGTATAAATAATAAAATCATTCTTTCGCCCCCTAAGTTCTGGAGGGCTTTTAGTCACTCGGCTCATCTCTCTTCTCTCTTCTCCTCTCCTCTCTTCACTTGCTCTTGCTCAACAGTAAGGTATGATGCTTGCTCTGGGACTCATGTTCTTTTCTGGGAAGATACTTGGGTGGGAAATTTGCCTCTTAAGGATTTGTTTCCTTTCTCTTCTCTATTTCCCTTTATAAAAAAGAACCTGTGTCTACTTTTCTTTTGTCCCCATATACCCCTTTGTCTACAAATTGGGACCTTGGCTTCTGTAAAGGGTTGAGGGATGAGGAATCCTTATTAGCTTCTGAGCTCTTATTGTTACTTGATTCTGTTTGCTTGGACCCACTCAATTCTGGTAGGAGGATTTGGACTTTGACTCCGAAAGGGTCGTTTACTTGTGCATCTTTCTTTAAATCCCTTTGCTCTAGTTCCTCTCCTTGGGCATTCCCAATTAAGGAAGTTTGATCTAGGCCTATTCCCCCCAAAATAGCTGTTTTTTGTTGGGAAGTTTACTACGGTAAATCAGTACGATGAATAACCTGCAAAAGAAAAGACCTTTCTTGTGTTTATCCCCTAACTGGGGTACTTTGTGCAAAGCGCAGAATGAGGACTGTTACCACGTATTGATTTCCTGTCCTTTTGCTGCAGCAATTTGGAATTGGGTATTTGATTTGTTTGATGTAGGTGGAACTTGCCAGCTGAGGTAAATTTGTTGTTTTCTCCATCTACCTTTGTGTGGACCACAAGAAGAGGGAGAATTATGTTAAAGTGTATAAGAGCAGCTCTTCTTTGGACTATTTGGGAAGAGAGAAATTCCAGAATTTTTCAGGAGAAGGAAAGAACCATTCTTGAGGTCAAGGAGTGTATTTTGACAAGGACTATTTTGTGGCAGAAATCCTTAAAGCTCTTTGAAAATTACTCCTTTGATGATTTAATGAGGAATTGGTCTGAAGTTGCCCTCACTTCCTCTAGGAAGCCTAGAGTTCAAGTAACTTGGACTCCGCCGATGGAGGGTTTTGTTAAGCTGAACTTTGACGGGAGTAGTCAGGGTAATCCAGGACCATTTGGTATTGGTGGTGTACTGAGAAATGAGAACAGCAACATCATCGCCTTTTTTTCGGGACCGGTGGGAATAGGAGACTCTATGAGGGCTGAACTCCTAGCTGTGGCACAGGGGATACAGATTGTTTATCAACTCAGAGTGCAGAACTTAATAATTGAAGGAGATTCCAAGGTGGTAGTAGGATGGTTGGCTGACTCGAGTACTGTCACTTGGGACATTAAGGATATTTTAAAAAAGGTTAAATGGCTATTGAGGGACATGACAGTTAGATTTCAGTGGATGGGTAGATCGGCTAATGCCTTGGCTGATTATCTTGCTAAACAAGGGGCTACTCAGATCTCCTTGTTTTGGGCTTCTCTGTAATTTTCTTTGTCCTTTTCTGTTTATTAACTAAAGGGTTGATGGTATCCCCATCTCCCCTCCTTAAAGGGGAGGTAGCATCTGGTGCCTCTCCCTAAAATGTACTATCTTTGGCTATGAATTAATAAATCTTACAATTCACTGATAAAAAAACAGAATCTCTTGACACATCTCTAAAATCTGGTAAGATAAGTATCGAGTCCATAATTTTTTATCCAATCCACAAGCACATCTTCATTTTCTTGCATGCTTTTCCTTCAAAGATCCTTCTATTCCTTTCTTTCCATACTTCCAATTGTAAATCCCACCTGCAATAATCTGAAATAAAAGAAAAGAAAAACAGGAGAGAAGAAGAAGATTGAAGGAGATGGAAGAGAGAGAGAGGTGATGGAGGAAGAAGATGGAAGAAAGGGAAGGAGAAGATAGAGTAGTTCAATCCTCTCTTCAGCCCAACAATCTCTTTTATTTATAAATGCTTTAGGCTTGTACAAATGCTACCTTTTCTGTTTAATACAAATTTACCTTTTCTTTTCTCAAAAAAACAAAAATAAGTCTCATTAAACATTCAGTCCACTAAAAAAAAATAAAAATATAAAGCCCACAAGATATAAAGGCTCTCACAGACCAATATAAACTCCCATGTTAAGAATAAAAATGGCATTCTCTCAATTATTAGAAAATAGAAATGATTAGATTGGACAACCTTAGTAATTACAAACATGTGGATACTCCTATGGAATTGAATGTTAAGTATAGTAAGGGAGATGGTGAGTCCCTCATCAATCCTACACTCTATGGGCAACTAGTCAACAGCCTCATTTATCTAACTATGACTAGAACTGGCATTGCCTATGCTTTCCAGGCCATTAGTGCATTTGCCTCTACCCTTTGTTGTCGTCATATGTTTATTGTTTATCATATCATCAGATACCTGAGGATGACTATTTCTAGAGGAATCTTCTTTTTTGCCCTATTGATCAGCACACTTGCAAGCCTATGCAGATGCAAATTGGACAGGTTGCTTTACCACACCTAGATCTACTAATGGCTGGTGTGTCTTTCTTCGCAACTCTCATTTCTTAGAAATGTAAGAAGAATATAAATATATACAAATACTCAGCTGAATGCAGGGCTATAACATTAGCATGAAATGAACTTGTATGGCTACAAGGACTCTTCAAGGACTTGTCCTTTGATTTACTTGATTTACTTAGGCCTAATCGATTATATGCTAATAACACTAGTTCTATATATGTCGCCTCTAATCTAGTCATCCATGAAGAGACCAAGCATATAGAAGTTGATTGTCATTTCATTAGGGACCAATATTGGCAGGTATCTCTTTCTTGGCAATTCTCTCATTCCTGGAAATGTAAGAAGCAACTAAATGTATCCAAATCCTCACCTGAATGCAGAGCTATGTCATTGGAATGTAATGAACTTGTGTGGCTACAAGGACTTTCTCCTTTGATTTACTTATTATTACTCCAATATATGGTAATGACACTAGTGCTATACATACTTCTAATCCAGTATTTCGTTAATGGGTTGTCATTTCATCAGGAACCAATACTTGGTTGGCCACATCTCTCGTCCCTTATGTAGCCTCAAAACATCAATTAGGAGACACCCTTACAAAGGTATGTCTTGCATCCATCAAGCATTCTTAATAGACAAAATGATTTTTTTTCCACAGCCTCAATTTGAGGGGAGGTGTAGGGAATGAAGAGAGACTGCAATGTACATTATAGTCTGTCTTCTATCTCTTTTTTTTAATTCTTTTGTATTTACATTTTAACCCCTATACATTTTATAATTTTGTTTGGTCCCTTAGAAGGGCCCTTTTTTGTAATTGTACATAACCTAGGCCTAATAATACATTGAGACCTTTGGGGGTTGGGTCATTCTCGGATTCGTTGAGGCACCCTGCACAACCGGTGTTCTTTCTCTTCCTTTATGCACAGCTATCAAGGGTAAACCACGGACTGATTACACACACCAGCCAAGAATACACCTTTACCAAAGATTCTTATTTGAAATTTTAAACCCATAAACCTCTCCAGAGTTGTAAAAAAGATAAGTAAACTTAAAATTATAGAATATTGCAGGCAGAAAAACACAACAAAAGAGGAAAAGATAATAACTAGGGACTGGAGTTAGGCTTGATGAAAGGAGTGAAAATTGGACATTTACAATATGATGTTCTACAGGTGGCGTGTGAAGGGTAGCATGCCAGGAGAACATGGAGGCTCCATAGAAAATGATACATGGAAACTAAGGAACAACTGACGTCTTAAGACTTCATTTTTGGAACACTAGCATCAAGATCAAAAACAAGTAGCTCGGTCATCTGAAATAGCTCAGACAAAATATTGAAAAAAAAAAGGAGCAAAATCTGTTACAAGACATAATAAGTGATTAAGTTTCCCATGAATGTTAGGCTTTACAATTAAACAATGAACTTGGATTATGCAGAATGCTTAGAAATTACAGAGTGTCTACCTCCTCAAATGGTATCAATTATTATTAACATTTAGAATCAACAAATAGATACTAAAATAGTCCACTTATATGGGAGCAAATTGCAGGACAGGGAGACACGAGCAAAAGAAAATACTATCTTTTTTTATCTGTTATGAACAGACATAGTCACCTTGATTATAACGTCCTTGACTTCGACATTAGAACTGTTGTTGATGCTGATATAGCTGCAGAAGGTCTCCCCAAGGTAAATTGCTCTGCGGACACAAATTGTCGAGAGGTGATCTTTAGAAGTTAATTAGGTTAATCCGAGAAGAAACAAGAAAGGAGAGAGAGAGAGAGAGAGAGAGAGAGAGAGACCCAAAGGCTTGGGGGAGGACGAGGAAGCCCGGGAGGCCCATCGCGTCGGTGGGATTCTGGAGAACATAGCGGTTGCGATAGGTATCCACTTCCCCAGGTTTGGTGGTGTTGGTGTTGCAACGATGGAAGAGGCGAGGGAGCTGAGCCTGAGACACGGTGGCGGGGTCGTCAAAGATATCTTCTCCGGTAAGGAGGTCGAGCGAGTCGAAGCGGAGGGGATCGTCCACCTGGAATGATGGCCTGCAGAGCCGCATCACTCTGAAGGTCAGGGAGTGTAATCCCATACTGGCGTTCATCTCTTTCCTGTCCTCCCGATCTCAATTCAGTTGCAAGCGGAATCCGGGAAACAACAAGACTGCTGTTAAAGTTGTTCTAGTTTTATGGCCTTTGTTTTGCCTTCTCTGTTCAGATTTTAGAATTCAGAATTCCTGCTTTGAGTACTCCCTTCCGCTGCTTTCACTCCTTCTTAGTCCAATCAAATGAAAAAGTTCCGTGAAAGCTAATACATTCACGTGGGATTATGAATTTAATCAAACCGAAATGATTTGTCTACCGAATTCAGTGACCGTCGCCGGAGAAGATGAACTTTTTGACTTTTGTTTGGAGATCGTCGAATCCGCCGATGTCGCCGGAGAAGATGGTCTACATTGAACCCTCTAATATTTTGCCGCTTCGGCTCTCTGCCTTGGCTCTGAACTCTTGTTGAAGGCGTGTTCGTAGCCGGAGAAGATAGGCTCCACGTCAACCCCATTAATCGAGTCTTCAAATCAACAACGCTGCGTTATCGGAGCCCTTTCCTCCCCCACTTTAACGGTCAAACCAAACAAATCCATGCAATTTCTGTTATGTCAACTCGTTGCTCATAGTCATACGGGTGATCATGGGCCGGGCCGGATTTAAGTAGCCCAGGCCCGTGATCAGACCAACCCGGACCCTGGGGCCTGGAACATAAGCCCGGGCCTGGTCTGGCAATAGGCCTATGCCTTTCTTTCTTTTTTCCATTTTAAGCCAAAGGCTTTCAATATACTATACTCCTGTTAATATATTATTATACATAGTATATATTTATATCCATAATATTATTAAAAGTATCAATTATAGTGTGGGACTTTTGTATGACTAAAATAACCCTATTTTAAATTTGATCCCTCCCTAATTGTGAGGGAAAACTGTAATTTGAAGTATTACTTTTCATCTTATTTAATTTCCTCTCACTAAGTTGTATATTTAAGGTATTAATTCCTTTCATTGTATCATATTTTTTATTAAAATGCTCTCATCTTTTAATTTGGCCCCTCTCTAAGTGTGAGGGCAAAAATGTAATATTAAATTCTTTTTACCTTGTTCAATTCTCTTTCATTAAGACCTATATTTAAGGTATTAATTCTTATTTCCTCTCATTAAATCTTATATTTAAATTATTTTTTCCCGCTAATAAATTTTATCATTTTTTTTACTTCAAATAAATTATGTTAATTATATCTATATCCAATACTTTTGGCAATACAAAAAAAAAGCCATATTTAAAACCAATCCAAAAATGACAACATTCTTCCATCTTGGTGGTGGGTACGTAATTCAACCATCCGAGTCAAATAAAAAATGGGTCAATCCATGATGATTATGTCATGGTTAAATAATTAATACACATTTTAAAAGAAAATTACATAAAATTGTAGAAAAACTAAACACATATCTAATATTTTATATTAATCATATGAAAGAAAAATACATATGATACACATAATTGTTTTACTACAATAATTATTTTACTGATGTTGGAAATTAAAAATAAAATTTAAAACTAGTCCAAAAATGAAATTGTTTTCCTATTTGGTGGCAAGTCAACAATTCAACCTTTTAGGTAAAATATGCCAACACTCGGTGTTAGAATTAAATAATATCATTTTTTAAAAAGATAAAAGCACAAAAATATAAAATACAAAAAATCACTAACATTTTATATTAATCATATTAAATAAAATAAGTGTGACAAACAATAATTGTTTTTATTGAAGATGGAAATTAAATACAAAATATAAAGTCAACCCAAAAAATTAAATTGTTTTCCTAGTTGCTGGTAGAGGGTCAACAATTTAGCCTTTTGGGTCAATTTTTCATCCCTTGATATCATAATTAATTAATAAAAGATATAAAAACAAAAAATTAAAAAAAATACATAAATTTTGTAAAAAATTGGACACATATCTAACACTTTTTTTATTATATATTTTATTAATCATATTAAAAAATGTGTAATAAAAAATATTTGTTTTTATTGATGATGGTAATGACATACTAAATTCAAGACTAACCCAAAAGTGAAGTTGTTATCAGGTTTGGTGATAGGTCAAATATGTTAACCCTTGATGTCATAATTAAATAATAAAAATAAAAAATAAAATCACAAGTTACAAAAATGAATAAATGTTATAAAAATAATTCGGGCATATATCTAATATCATATATTCATCATATTAAACAAATAAATGTGTGATGAATAAAAATTATTTTTATTCACAAAAATATAAATAGTTTTTGAAAAATGTGGAACATATTATTACTATCATCATCATCGTCATTGTCTAAAATTGACATGTTCAAAGAACATGCACATTTACTTTTGTGTGTGTGTGTATAGATAGATAGATAGATAGATGGATAGGTGCATGCTATGTATGTGTACAAGTAAAGGGTGAATATATAACTTAACATTGTATAATCAAATTTAATTTATATTTTGTTTTACTTTTCTTTCATTTTCTTTTATTTTCTATTTCACTTTATTTTCAGTTATTTTTCAAATATTTTTATTTCATATTTTATTTTTAATTTTTTCACCATTATTTATTTGATTTCCATTTCTAATTTTTTAATGCAACATCATCCATTGTCAAATTAGGGATGTCAATGGATTGAGTTTGAGTTAAACGGTAACCTGCCCTAATGGAAAAATGTGACACCTTAGAACCTATAAAGCCAAATTTCAACTTAAATTAATGTCCTTTAGTTTCCAAAATGTGTTATTAAAAAAAAGGTTGTGGGTTAAAGCTGGTCAATATTGGATTGAACCCTATAGTCGTACTCGTAGGCAAATTTGAAAATTGCAAGTAGACTTGGCAATTGGGCTGGGTGGGTCGGATTAGAGTTGGGCCAAAGTATTTTGGGTTGTCAAATGCTAGACCCTAATCTAAATGTTCAGGTTAGGGTTGACCCATGGGTCAATTCGGGTCATCCCAAAAAATTATTGAAATTTAAAAAATAAAGAAAATTTACATGAAAAATATCAAAATTAAAAGAATTAACTTTAAAATTCCAAATATAAAATAAAAACTTGAACATTTAACAGTTTAAAGTGTAAACAATAAAAAGCAAAGATTAAATAGAAAAAATTAAAGAGTGGAAATTTCTAACAATGCATAAATAATCCCAATTAGATTTGACAATTGGGTCAGCGGGTTAACCCATGACGCAACCCAACCCAATCCAGTTTTCGGGTTGGGTCGGGTCATGTCATTTTCGCATTCAGTTGCTAAATATGAGACCCTAACCCTATTTTTTCGGGTTGGGTTGGGTCGGGTTCGCGGGTTGGGTCAACTTTTTACCAGGTCTAATTGCAAGTTACGAAGTCAGGTTGGGTTAGAGTCAACATCAACCTGTACTGAACCCGACTAATTGGCATCCCTAAACATTACACTAACAAAAGGGTCAGTAAGTATATTTTATCCCAAGAGTCGGGAGAAGTTTTTGGAGAGATCAAAATTCAATGGAGGTTTAAATAATTTAACTTGTATGTATGTATTGTATGTATATGTGTGTGTTGGATTTGGATTGGAGCAAAATTATTGGGCTCAAACCTGATCCTAAATTTGTGTGCCTAATTAGAAACCATACCTATAGTGATGGCAGTTTTCTCCATTACCCCAATCCTCGTGGGCCTACCTCGAATGGTGTGGGGATAGGCAGTGGCGGAGGTATTTTCTTTTGAGGGGCCAAATGAGATAGAGAATAGAGGAGGTAAGGTCTACATAGAAATGGGCCATGAAGGTTTGAGTCTATTATAGCTTTTTTCTTAGAAAAAATAAACAATTTTTTTTTTTTTTTTTGAGGGGGGGAGGGTGTCGGCAAGAACCCATTTTATTACACTTCTGACCATGCCTCCAATTACTAACCATATACATAATGGTTTTAACAAAAAGTTTGGGGGCTAAGTACCCCCACCAATGTATATGGTTCCTCTCGTTGGGGATGGAATAATTTCCCCCTGAAGGAATGGGGAGAGCATTCCTCGCCCTTTGGGGATGCCCACTATGTATGTATACATGTATGTATGTACATACATATGTTAATATTTAAACAATATAATTGAATATGCTTGAATATATTTGGATCTATTTTAATGACATTATAATTTTCTAACTATTTATATCTATTTTTTAAATCAAATAAAAAACAAAAACAAAAGGTGACCTCATCCCTGGGGTTCCCCACAGGGATGAGGATGGGGATAACCTTGTCCCTGGTGGCGGGAATAGGGATAAGGACGGGGATGGGGAGTGGCTCCCTGTCCCTTCCCCACCACATTGCCATTTCTAGGCCAAAACATACAAACAACTTGTTGGTTGGATTGGGGCAAAAATAACCGGTATCTCAATTGACAAATTTCCAATTTTGGGCCTTAGGTTTTTTGTCAAGGCCGAGGCCCACGTCGTATACATTCAGATTCCAACAGTCTATTTTCATTGTTAACATTTTGTGAATTTTAAACTTTTAGACCAGTTTTCCCTCACCTTTATTACATCTTCAACACTATTTTGGACTTTTTCTATCTTCTTCCTTTTGATAATTTGTTTAAGAGAGATAAATGAGAGTTGAAAGCTAGCGGTATAGCATTTACCATAAAGTTCTAAACTTGTATTTTCGGGATGTAATAAAATAGAGTATAAAAGGGTCTCCTTAAAGTTCAAAATTGAAGGAATGTTAACAACGGAAAGTGTTGGAATCTAAAAAGTATAGGGTAACTCTTTGTTGCAAATGAATGATTAACACGACCTAAGTTTCACTTCTATCTTCTATGTGTTTTTCCCAATATTTTATTTATAAGTTTGTAGCCCCAAAAGTCCAATTTGGCTCACCAAGAGAATAATGAGAGTTGAAAGTGCATAAAGTTCAAAACTTGTATTTTGGGATGGGAAAATCTATGATGTGGAAAAGATATGGTATGGGAAGGGTTTTGACCAATCAAAACCCACCTATGAATTTTGATAAATAACACCCGATTGGCTACCACATTTATGATTCCAGTTGATTGGTCAGAAATTTTTTAGATATCATGTTTTTTTATATATCATAATCGAACCCTTTGGGGATATAATAAAAGAAAGGGTAAAAGGGTCTCCTAAAAGATCAAAATTGATGGAGTGCTAACTACAGAAGCAATAACTCTTTATTGCAAATGAATGTTTAGCGACCCAAGTGTCACTACCCCTAAGGTACAAAGTAGTTCTCAGTATTTCCCCCAATATTTTGTTTATAAGTTCATAGGCCCAAATCATCGTAGTATCTAGACCTCTTCATGGGCCAGGCTTAAACCCTTATTAACAAAAAATGTTCATGCCCATGACCGAGCCCTTGCCTTACTATCAAGCTTATTATTGAGCTCGACCATTGGCTCAAGTTTGGGCCCGCCCAAGTTGCATCCGACATCCCTATTTATATAAAACCCCACCATGTCAAAAGATGCTATAAGAGCCTTTGATGTGAACATAATCCAACCTGAATCTCTTAATCCATGATGGACAAGGC